ACAGAAAGTAGAAACTAAGAAGCAAAAAATAATAGTCTGAAATACCATCAAATATTAAGAATTTCGTGAATGTATATTTAGTTTTCTGTATAGTTATTCTCTACAGTATCCCAGAAAGTATTCATGATGATTAATTATAAATCGAATGAAAAAGATAAATGTTAGTAATGCGCCACCTGGTGTCACCTACCATTGCGACCATAGAAACGCACCCTGGTGTTGATGATTGCCTAGCAACACGCCCCCTGGTGTTGTTGACAGGGCAATGCCCTAGACATGTGTTGAAATTGCGTGAAGGTCATGTTTGTGTACTTCCGCTGCCATAAGAGCATCTAATACTACTGTAATCTTCAAGGTGTTTTGTATTAATATTGTCATTTGAAGCTATTTCCTTAACGTTATTTTCTTATCTAAATATAAGAGAAATTATCAGGAAATGAAGAGTAAAGCAAATTTTGAAGCATTCCTGAACATAATGAACATCATCAGGTGATGATGACAAAACCTTGTCGAAACGTTGTACATTTGCTGTTATGTTAAACTTATATTAAAGTTTTTCTTCATTACCCATTCAAGCCCTCTCCAACCATTATGATATGTGTGTGTGTGTTTTCTTTGTTTTATTGTTAAACACAAAGATACACAGTAAGCTATTGGTGCTCTGCTCACTGGGAGCATTGAAACGCAATTTTTAGTGTTATAAGCCATCACACTTGCCGCTGAGCCCCTTGAGGATCAATGTATTTATGTTCAGAAATACTCTAGAAATGTACATAGTTGCTATGAAAGGAAATAGAAATGACATTTTTCTGAAGAAAAATGTTAAAGAATTCTGCACGTAGACATAAGTAATTTTTAATGAAAATAATTTCTCCTTTATTGTTGCTTTATATTATAGTCATTGTGAGTTGTCATATTCATTAGAAAATTTTGTTTAAAAATTTAAAACCAACAAAAGTATGTAGGTCGTTTCCATTTACCTTCTTAAGAAAGGACAAGTAGTTTAGAGCAAGCTCTAACTTTAGGCAAGGTAGTGCTGCTATGCTCAGAAAAAACTGTAGAACAGTACTAACTATATTTTATTCATTCATTTTGTACTAGAACAACAGTTTACAATACATTGATATAAATTTTAGACTTTTCTTATCTTTTCAAAAGTGTTGCAGCTTAGCTTCATTAACCGATTGCTGATAAGGCATACCATATAGGTGGCACACAAACTGTTCTGTAGGCGCTAGATCTCTGTCACGTTCAATTCCTTTGACAAGTTCAGATTATTTTTGGAATACATTTCGAAATACCTTCTTTCCGTGACTATTGAATGGTGTCTGGAGAGTGGGAACCATTCCTACTGTTGTTACAGGAGGGTCAACAATACTAGTGACTTCATTGAGTGTTCTCTAGACAGGAACTGACTGATCATCCTCATCATAGATTCTGGAATAATACCATCCATATATTTGGCCCATGATCTGGGTGTTTCATGACAGTAGCTGTAGAACCACTTTATGTGAATTATTTGGTCTCCACCAAATAAAAGTGAAAAATTGCATGATCAGTTTTTGAAACTCCTCTAAGGCATTAAGCTTGATTGTTCTCGGCCTCAGGATTCGTTCACCATTTATATCTCTTGGATCTTCTTGAGGAGCTGAAACTCTCTGCAACACTACCATCTGTTGAAGTGAAACATGTTCTTCCCAACCAACGTTGCCTCCAGTACATCTATGTTGTCACAAGAACATATGATCACCCGATTCTCCACAAGATTGTCCTGAACATAAATGTTACCATTTTTTTTATCTTGTCAAGAATGATATGACCTGTAGTTGAATCGATTCTCCGAACAGTGTAGATGCCGATAGTATGATTGGCTGCATGGAAAAGGTCAAGTAGGGTTTCAGGGTGAGTAGCTTGATGCAGCGCCAGACCTAAACTGACGTGCTTTGGTATCAATTTTCATCTATTAAATACTGCATAAACTATGTCTTAGGCAATGCTACAGAAAGTCTGCTTTAGAGTGTTGTCTTCTTCCATTCCCTTATCTGTGACAACTATGCCTCCAAAGTGTAAGTGAAGGAAAAGATACAAACTATTCAGAATCAGTTGATTCACATGTTCTTGATCCAATCCTTTCCAGGTGCTAGGATGCCTTGGGGTGTCCATCTGATCTTGTTTGATTCTTAGGGCCAAGTACACCATTTTATGAAATATGTTGTCTTCTACAAACTCAACTAAACCACCATATTTAGTTGATTCAGATTCGGATGAAAATATCTCATGACGTGAAGACTTTATGAGGCTTTTCGAGAATATAAAGGCTGATTTTTCTCCGGTATATCTTAGTAGGGTTCCTCGTGCTAGAAGTCGTACATAACTTGCAGTCAGTCCAACTAATCACTGAACTGTTTCGTAAGAAGTCGTCCTCCTTGACTGAAAATGCATATTCTGCTCATTGTACATGTGAACATATCTTTCCCATACATTCTCCACGTCGTACACATCTAAACAGTTTACTTTCAGACGGTAAGATTAGAGTAACAGGTTTTGTGCCATTTAACATCAATTTTGTGGTAGTCATCTATGGAAATATGTTATAGTTTTTCTAGCACATCCATGCATCTGGTATCACCGAGTCGTTTTCGCTTCTCACCAACATCTTTCACCCTTGTCTTCCCATCTGTTGATTGTGTGCATAAATCTCCTTCACTACTCTGACAGAAAAAACATTTCAAATTGACATTTTCACTCAACTGTCTCTTGCGCTTTATAATAAATACTAGATGCATAGCTATATCAAGTTCGTTGGGTGGAGTCAGCTCATCAAATGATTGGGGATTCTGTAAATTTACATACATAAAAAAAAAGATATTTACACTAGTTCATCCAGCAAATATGAAAGTTATTTCGCATTTCTTATTATGTAGGAAGAGTAGATGCAAATCTGGCAAAAACAGCCAGTTTGACCCTTGTAACCTTAAAATGGCCTTCAGAATTAATATTGACGGTGGCATCCACTCTAATCTTTTTTTTTTTGTATGCTTAAGGCAAGATATTTAGCACCGATGCTAAGTATTAACAAACAATGCCATACAATATTTTTAGGGCAGTTTTCAGTGTTTGGCTGGCCTACTATAACAGTAAATGAACTACAGTGTTTTGCTCCTTTAATTACGATTGAAGCCTATTAATCAACAGACTTTCCTTTGTTTAATTCCTGTTTGTTATTCGCTTTTGCGAGGACATTAAATTGTCTTTTACTTACAGGCTCATTACACTCGTTCAGTTAATTGCTCTCAATGCTATATAATGACGTTTATTTCAAATTTGTGTATATATATACACTTCAGTGGATCCAATAAACATTTAAGGCGTTTAGACATAAAAGCAACATAGATTCTGGAAATGATAATATCTTTGACCCATGATTTGGTTCTTTCTAGAAAGTTGTTGTTGAATCATGTCAATAATTTGGTCTCCGCCGAACGAGGGTGAAGGTCTTTGACCAGATGGAAGGATTGCATGATTAATTTTTTTAAACTCTCTAAGGTTTTAGAGTGTTGTCTACTTCCATTCCCTCATCTATGATATCTACGCTTTAATTTCGTTGACGATTGGAAATTATCTTAATCTGTTGACAAATCAATTTAATGTTAATCTATTGTCAATTCAAAATTACATAAACTTCAATAAATCGAACTTGATGAACTTGAACATAAATCATGTGGCATAAAATAGTTTCTTAATGACAACAATTACTTCTGTGTTACAACAAATAACTTACAACAAGTTTAGTCACAATTCATATCATGACTCTGATTTATAACAAATTGCCAGTAATATAACATTCAATGCTATATTAAGCATATTTATTTACCAAGGAAAAAGGTACAGTGCTGCAACAAACATATGTTTCTATCTTGCGAAACATCCGCAATGACTCTTAGAACATGAATACCATAAGACGCAGTCAGTCACTGACTGAAGAACGTTTTAGATCATATGGCATGAATAATAGTCTCAGTGACATTTAGAATATTTACTTGTGAAACGTCAAGAGATTAGAATTTCAGTACATAAATATGCTGTTTTTGACATTGCTAGGCAGCTTAAAGAATTCAACAACATACAAATTTGATACTACCGAGCCTTTTGTTATTCTGTGCTTAAACATATCATAGTTCTATCAAAATAATAAAACCGCTCATGTTGAAACAAGGTTATCAAATTACACAAATGTAATAAGAGTTTATATACATTTCTTGGAAACATTTAATTCTAAATATTTCTTCGCCAACATAAATCCACCTTCTTTGTCATAAATGTTCATATGGTATTTCAAAATTCTTTATTTTGGTGCAATCGTTCACATATAATTATCTCTGCTAATTTGAAATCCATTATTTCTATCGAACATTTTCATATCCGTTTATATTTAAGTGAACGTCCCTCGTATTTGTCACAGCTGTTTATATCCAGTGATTTTAGTTATATTAAGGTCACTCGCCTTTGTAAAAGATCTTCATCTTCACACACTCCTCGTGTGTCTTCATTGTACATTTAATATAAGGATAAATACCATCCGCTTTCTGAGATTTCTCTTCTTAGAATTACATACGTAGATCAGTTTAATGAAAATAAGTCTGCTGCAAGAATGTCTACGGATCGTATGCACATTTTCATTAGACTCAGTTATTCTCTTAGTCATGATATGTTACAAGTATTTAGATAAACAAATATACTTTTCCATATATTTTAGGGATATCGCACGAACCAATATTGATTGAAATCTAGAAATTTTGGATGAGTTAAAATGGACTGAAGTAAGATACATCAAGGTATTGTGTATAAATGAATCTCTAGAAACAGTCACCGAAGTTGGATTCTGACTGACACTGGTGATTAGAGAGTAGCTCTTAACATACTATAAAGAGTGTATTACTCGTTTCCAGAAAGTATATATTATCAGCTTTCTATTAGGTAGTCATCGTCTGAATTAATTATTAATCTCCTTTTGCAGGAGAGAGCGACGTGTGATACGCAATGTTGTGACAATCTGATCCCATCGGTTGAAGGGATAGGGCTGAAGATTGTTTTTGCAAACTCAGATAATTACTTAAGTCTCCTCTGAAAACCCCACGGGGGTACATGGAGCGATAAATAACGGGAGTCGTTATTGTTGGAAGCAGTGCAATTAGGACTACGTTTATGAAGGCCAGATCGAAATGGGCACTATGTTCCATTGTTTCTGCAACTACATGTTTGACCAGTCGAGTCACGTGCAATGGAAATAGACAGAGAGCGTAGGCGAAAGCCATAATGAAAAATGAGTTTTGGATGACTTTTTCTTTTTCCCAGTCGAACTCTTCGTCTTCGTGACGTCGATGATAACGCTGCAAGCCAGGAGCAAGTGAATGACTAGTGACGTCACTGTTATAAGCTTCAGCTATTTCACTATTTCCAACGTGTATAGGAATGAAAGAGGATTCTCTTATCCCTGTAACGCTAGAGGTTGCCACGGAAGAGACAGTATTTTCCTCAAAGTTTAGCAGAGTAGGAGATCTTTGGCCACTAGTGGAAAATAGGCTCTTGCGGTTATTGATTTCCACTGTGACTTTCAGATGTAGATACACAATAAGAACAGCGGGTGTGGCATACAACACGATAAATAGAGCACGAATAAATTCCTCAATGTTATTTTCCACATTTACAACGCAGATTCCGACTCCTTTAAATTGTTGACCAAAATATTTCTCTAAGTCTACATACTCCGAGTAAACACTATAAGGCAGGGCCACCAGAAAGCTCGTTACCCAAGTTCCCAGAAGCCAAAAGCCAGCAGAATTACGAGTTTTCAATGGATTCATAATAGTCCTATAACGGTCAAACGCTGTTGCCAGAAGAGTAAGAAATGTCGCATAGAAAGGGACGTCCTGGGCAATCGGAAGAAAATGACACAGAAAACTACCGAAAATCCAGTTCTGAAGGGCTAATATTGCCAGAGAAACTGGCATCACAACAATACATTTAAACATGTCGTTCACGGCATTGCTAGCCAGGTATTTGTCAATGTTTTCACAATGCTCACGGAACAAAAATATCCGACGGAGCATATTGGCGTTCAGAAATAATCCTAAGGCTCCCACTAGGCCGTAGAGGATTAGATACAACGGAAAACTATTTTTGAGTGACGGTCGTAGATGTGGCGTCTTGAAGTCAGTAGTGTCGTTATGAAAATGCATGAAGAAATGGATCACCATGCCTACATAGTGATCAGGAATATCTTTAACCGATGTGGCAATATCTTTATGAGATACGTCACCCATGTTTTCACAGCCACTAAGTACTGGAAAGACTCCGATGTTCTGATAAAAGAAAGAAACAACGTATATAAATAACTATGTCAGCTCAAAGTATTTACAGAAATACCCTGATCATTTTTCTCAGATGTATCTTGTTTCCCATGATCACGGAATGATTTTTAATACTGCTATTTTTTTTCCAACAATTACAAACACCTTACTAGAAATATATCCATATTTGTCATTGCACACAGAATATTTTGAAAATACTTCTTGTATGAGATAAATAACTGGGATAGTTTGTATGGTAGTTATAACTAATACACTTGCACCCAATGTTTATGTTAGCAGGGATGTATAACATGGCTATCTGTCCATTACTTTTTTAACCTTTGTTAACGAAATATAGAATCCAAAGTAGTTGTAGTGTAATCAAAGTAGTGACATCTTTTGGTATAATTCCTTCGTTTACAGAGAAAATTTTTTTTAAAACTACATATAACATACTTCAAAGAATTTAGTCCTATTTCTATACCGATCCTTAATTTAACAGTGAAAGACTAGCTAGTTATCCCCACCCACCACCAACTCTTGGGCTACTTTTTTACCAACGAATAGTGGGATTGACTGTATATTATAACGCCCCCACGGCTGAAAGGGCGAGCATGTTTGGTGGGACCCGCGACCCTCAGATTGCGAGTCAAGCGCCCTAAGCACTTGGCCATGCCGGACCCCGATCCAAGAGAAGACAAATTTTATCTTGCCTTTACTTTCATCAAAAGAAAAGATAGATCCTATCTTTACCAAGGCGGAGGTAAATCTTATCCTGTTCAAATGAAGGGAATGCGTGATATATTCAACCCTTTCATACCATGATGGAAATAATTTTTAACCTTGAGATTATTTTGTTTGTACTCAATTGCTTGTAAATAAACTTTCCAATTTTTAAATGCATACTTAGCATCAAATGTAATAACTAAGCTTTGCATAGAAAATAACAAAACGCCAGTAGGCCATTATACAGGGTGGTCCAAAATTATCTTTCCTGTTTTAGAATTTGATAATTAAATAGCTAAGGAAATACAACCAGGCAGTTTTCAACATCTTGTAGCCAAACTCGAACAGTTTTTTTGTTTTGTTGTTGTTTTTTTCACTCCAGTGTATAGTGTTGCCTCGTAAAATGGCAACCATGCAATAAAAATCTCAATGCGCCGTTTGGCTTGCAGAGATAAAGTCAATGACTGTTGACTGTAGAGCAGCGTAATTTTCAGACTCCAGTAAAGGAAAGAACCACCATCGAAACAAACTATCTGAGAGTGGAAGAAGAAGTTCTTATAGACCAGCAGTGCGTTACAGCGACCGGGAGCTGGAAAGCCCTGTATCAGTGATGAACATATCGATCAAGTACGCAAATCGCTTCGGCGTGCTTCACGAGAACTTAACATGCCAAAAACATTAGTGCTCCGTATCATTCACAAATGACTTCATCTGCATGCCTGCAAACTTCAGTTGGTGCAGGCACTGCAACCAGACGACAGCCCAAAGCGCAAAACTTTTGCAGTAAACCTCCTTGACCACATAGATGAAGACAACACATTTCTAGCTCGTGTGCTGTTTAACAATGAGCCTACATTTCATACCTCAGGTAAAGTGAATCGTCATAATGTCCGCGTTTAGGGCTCGGAAAACCACCATGACATCATTGAAATCGTGCGTGATACCAGAGATGAACGTGTGGCGCGATCTCATGTGTGACAGGGTTATGGGGCTTTCTTCAATGAGATTACTGTTACCGAGAGCATGCTGGAACAATTTGTGGTCATACAACTGGAGGAAATGCAACCATAGATAGTCTTTCAACAGGATCGTGCTCCACCTCACTGGAGTTTGCTGGTCATATACTTCCTAGATCAGGCGATGGATTGATCGGGGGGGGGGGTAGCCATTCCGTGGCTTCTACTTTCGCCAGACATCACTTCACTAGACTTCTTTCTTTGGGGGTATTTTAAAAATATTGTGTATCGCACATCTTAAAGATCAGGATAACGTACGCCATCCCCACTGTAACCGTGAGCATGTTGCAACGAACGTGGACTGAAATCGATTATCGGTTAGACGTTTTGAGAGCTATTAATGGTGCCCACGTATAAGTCTACTGACATGTCATAAAAACTGTTTGCGTTGGGCTACAAGATGTTGAAAACTGCATAGTTGTCATTTCTTAGTTATTTAATTATTAAATTTTAAAACAGAAAAGATAATTTTGGATCACCCTGTATATTTGTTATAATACAGGCTAAAATAGTAAATATTATACTCGTTCATTGCACTTAACAAAATGTACTTTGAAGGAACTAAAAGCTAAACGAAGGAAATTCTCAGAAAAAATAAAACATTTTTAAATTCCCTTTCATATATCTAGAAACAATATGCAGAGACACGAACAGTCAACATGTTTTTAAGTAACACAAATAATGTTGGTCTCGGTGTCTCTGAACACTCACGCTTTATGAAGACTCGAGTCTTTTGACGGCTGAGCTTGTTTTATTGATATTAGTGTCTCTAAAAACAACGTTTTGTGAAGACTCGAGTATCGTTATGGTCAGTCTAGTTGTTAACTGAATCAAATGAATGTGACAAAATAATAGGCTGATAAAATATTTGAATTTGACATGATATGTAACAGACAAAAATAAATGTATATTTAGATGTTATCAGGAAAAAAAATAACTTATCATCCGAGAAATTGAAAATATTATTCTACGCTGGAGCTCTACAGATGTTGATGGAAATGCAGAAAGGTGAAAGTTATGAAATTAAGATAAGATAATGATAACAAACATTTCATTTCATGCCAGGTCATAATGTAACAATAATAATCAAGAAACTTGATCACGAAGACATTTCTGATATATCAATAGCACAGACATTTCTGTATCAACTACTTTCAAAATGCATTTATACGAACCAGTGTTATTCCAAAAAACGAATCAACATTATTTGTTAATTTAAATACTTTCACATGATCTAATTCTACATTAAATCAACAAACGGAAATAACATAATTTCGATATGTGGCCATCTGGTAGCAGAGGTACCCAATCTAATCTTGAATTTTCACAGTTTTCAGTTGTTATAATAATATGTTTGTTACGAAATGACTTTCATCTTCATTTCTTACTTTATAAAGTGCACTTTGTAAATTGTGGCATATAAGCCTTTTTGTTTTTTTTTACAAATCATTTCAGAATCTGGTTTTAACTTCAACAAACTTAATTCTTATGAAGACTGGACTCTTTTTTTTTTTCAATAATGATTAGCATTGTTGAACAATCAACCAGCGTAAAAACAAAACAAAAACATTGCTGTATATAATATTATGTTGAATTTTACTTCAGAGGTTTCCGGCTATTTCTAAATTTATGGTTTGTTTATCGGGAGCAACTTTCTTGTCGACATTCAACAACGAAATAAATTAAATTTGATTGCTGCGTAAAATACATAATTTTCTCAACATTAATAGGGAAAAATCGTTACTTTTTCAATTTCATAAACGTTTATTTCAATAAAGTGTCTTAGGTCTTCCTTTTATAAGACTCATTTAATGTTGCATCGAGGCGGAACATTGCCAAACCGCTCGAATGTAATTACGTTCAATTTGTTATTTCACACTGCTTTCTCTATTTTGGTGTCGTCATAAGCGTTCGTGTGTTGAGAAGATACACTTCTGGAGGGAAATATTCTTGCTAAGCAAGGGTCGTTAGTTTAACAGTAATTGAGCATTTATCGCTTACATGAAAAAATGGTTTAAACAAGATTTTTAAACCTCTGAAATACAAATACCTGCAAGCCTTTATTGCGATAAGGAATTTTAAATAAAACACGAAGCGATCTCAGAAGATGTCAACAATTATCATTTTCACTATATCAACCGCGATAAGCCCATCGGTAAGTCTGACAACTTATAATGCTAAAAACTAGGTTCCGATAATTGTGGTGGGCACAGCGCAGACAGCCCATTGTGTAGCTTTTCGCTTAACAACAAAACAAACAAATCTAACAAATCACATTGAATTATGATGTACCTTTAGCTTTCCCTTCATGCTGAACATTCATATAAGCTTTGACTTTCATTCCAAGTTATAACAGTTATGTTTTTATGTCATTTTAACTCAAACTTAACACACAAGCTTAATTTATTCACCCCAAACTACGCTCAATTATATTTAAGTTGAAATTATATACTTTTGATTTTTGAAAGTCGGGAAAGTTTGAACTTCGTCCAATTGCAGATCTTGTGGAGTAAATACACTCTGTTTTTATAGAGATTAACGTAAAACTGTGCCCATTAAACTTAGATAAAACAGCTGAATAAAATATTTTAATGAGTTAATAGTTTGTTGATAAATATATGGGCCTCAATATAGAGCTGGAGTACCTTATATTAAAACCATTTCGGAACCACAACCCGTTACACACCATGTCGTTTCGTCAAATCATGCTTTAGCTATCTAACGGCCACGTATTTTGATAGTAGTCCCGCAGCGTAGATTCCGTTGAAAAAAAGCTCCATTATATGGATGGCATACCAAAAACACACCACTCCTCCCTGTTATTTTCCATCATATATCTAGTGTACGAGGACGGCGGTTTCCCAGCATTCGTTTCAATAGTTCGTTCACACTTAAATTCATAGGTACTATGATCAGCTACTTGATAGTGTGCCTTCGTATGGAACAGCATAGACATTAATTTCATTCTCCAGCTGCTCGAGATAAGCGACGATTGAACTGATATGTCGGGGAAGCAGCTTGTAAATGTATGGCGTGTGTCCCTTTTCCAGACAGGGATCTTTCTTGGTTGTGTTGCGTATTGTTGCGTAGTTCCATGCAGATAGCTTTTGATACAGACTTATGTATTCATGGGTTCTCTCCTGTAACAAGAAATCGCACTTTGCTTCCTACAGCTGCGGTACGAATTCTTGCAGGAACCCGGCATGGCCAGATGGTTTGGGCGCTTGATTCGCAATCTGAGGGTCAC